ATCGAAAGTAACACGAAAATAGGATATGTAAATAAAACCTAAATAGAATACGCGTTAGAATCGCTTCATTTTACATAAATAAAAGATCTTTCTAAAATTACGAAACGTCGATAAATATTAGTATGTAAATAAATGTTCTCGTAATTTTTTCTTCTTTTACTATAATTTAATTTAATTCTTCGTTCTCTTTTTTTTTTATTACTTTGACTCTTAGAAAGTAATCTTTTGGAAAAAGGATTTCTAATTTTTATTTTGAAAAGTAATACTCTTTATCATACGTTGCCAAATAAATGTTTAAAATAAAAAGAAAGATTAGAATACAATTCTATTAAAAAATTATTTCTTCATTATCCTTGGCAATAGTGGTTCCAGCTAATTAATTATATAATAGAACATTAATTTGCTACTTTTACGGTAATTATAATATAGATCGCTGAAAAAATAGTATATGCACCTCAACCGAAAAATAAATATTCCTATAATCGCAATTCTTTTTTTAAACTCGACTTTTATCTCAAACAAAAATATTCACATCTCATACAGCAAAATATCATTTTCCGGTCTAGACAAAGAAATAAATATTCATTTGATTGTATTTAGATTTGAATACTGTTAAATATGTTCATTAAAAGAATATGTAAATGCAATTCAAATTTTGTCGTAGTTGTTCAAAATGATACGATTCAGTAAGAAACAACGGATACAATAATAAAATTTAAAAAAAAGCAATGATAACAAATAAAAAATAAAAATTGTAACTTGAAAAACATTCCAAAATAATATCGTACTTAAAGAAATTTTCTTATTTTCCAAAAAAAAAATGAACATTTATTGTCTTCAAAGATCAATAAATATAATCGTCGAATTGCAATTTCATAATCTTCTTTATTTTTTTATAAAAAATGTTTTGTTACTTTATGACCCAGAAAATGATAAAACACGCGTTAAATCAAATGTTAATTGGTCTTTATTGTGTGTACGTATTTTTGTGAAGCGTTTTTGATTAATTTCTTCATTTAAAATGAAAATAATGATAAAGATGATCGTTATAGGTGACGAGAAACATTTTTCATGCTAACAGCTTTAACACTGTGATTTTAATCTCAAAGCGAGAAGGAAACTTACGTAAAAGATTTGCTCGCGGATGTGCACACCCTACGATCAAGTCAACCTGCACTTTCTCAGCCAGCTCGATCTTCCGTTCTTCTCTATGCGAGAATACCAATCGCAAAGAACGACTTTTCCATCGTACAAAATTAAAAGGACCTTAGTTTAAGCTCAACGAACGTTTCCTATTGTTACACAATCGATATAATGAACATATACGTCTCAGTGATCATTACATTGAAAGAAAACAAATGAAGTTTTGTAATCGTATAATCGTTTCTTCTTAAATTGCATCTCATCATTTGTTGAATAAGATAATCGAAAGGAATAGATCCTAATAGAATGTTCATTTTTTTTATTATTTTTCCATTCATAGATGATAAATTTTTATGAACATTTTTCCTGATATTCTCGGAAATTGATTAGTATGAAAAAATAGTTGCGGTCTAAAAAGAAAGTGCAATTCCATTCTGAGTGACGTCGATGCATGGGAAATAATAGAAAGAAACAAAAAATTATACAGTCATAAAAGATTGAACCATAAAAAACTATGCAATACCTAACTATATTTTCGCTTGGAAGAGAGATTTAAGCGATGACAGTTTTTGGAAGAATCACCGTGTGAATGAGCAAAAAGAATTTTAGTAAAAAGCAGAAAATTGCAAATCACCAAACTCGCACACAGGCGGAATCTAGTCGAGTGGAAAGAGTTTACAAATACTTTCGCGAGCAACACGGATACGTTGGTACATAATATGTACGTGAACATGCATACATGCTATACACACACGTACAAACATAGATACCGATCAGGAGAGTTCGTCTTTTAATGTTTGAACGAAAATGGATGTCATGTAGAAATATATCAGAGTACTCGAAAATCATAAAAAATCGAGTGATACTAACGCTTACCGACTAATTTTATTAGAAAATAGCTCTTTGCTATCTTTATGGGGTGGCGGCAATATACTTGCTAGGTAAGATAGCTTCTGACATTTGAAGTTACCACTGACAACGACGACGATGACGACGTCAAAGGAGCGAATGTGTTTTGCACGGTATGTCCTTGATTCGTCTAACAACCTAACGATAAAATTTGTGCTACGCTTAGAAACGATGATTTCAAATTAATTCGTATTTCCGATTTATCATATAAGTATGTACGTATTTAAGTATGTTACGTATTACGTATGTAAGTATTGATATAAACAATAAAATACTTATTGATAAAAAAAAATTAATCACCCACCAATCGAATATTGCTTTGATACAAAATTTTGTAAAAATTTATTTCATTCATGTATATCGTATCAAAGATTAAACTTTAATTTGATTATAATTTTTCTACAAATTTCTATGCATTATATTAATTAGATAATAGATATTTGACCATTGAACGGAAGAATAGATTATTCTTTAGAGATTGAATAATGACAACAACGAAGTTCTACATCTCGGAACATGTATAACCTTCAGTTTTGCGTAACCATGACATTGAAAATCATTCTTGAACGGACATTAACCCGCTTTCTATTTTTGTTACGAAAAAAATCCTCATCTTCCGCAACCCTCTTTTCATCTCCTGATCCTGATTACCACCACTCCTCTCTGTCGATTATAGCGTTAAATTACTTTTCCCCACGACCTTCGCATCATTCATTCTCCCGTGTCTTCTTAACTTACTGAGAAAGTAAGTAAGTAAATAGTTAAATTGAAAAATATTTATGAAGTTTCTCTCCCAAGTATTACCTACAGCATTTCCCATTCACTATAAGATCGATCGTTGCCAACCATATTAAATAAAATGTGGAAGTGGCTCGCGAAAGTTATCAGCAAACGTAAACCGTTCTCAAAGCCAACTTAAATAGTTGAACAACAAAAAAGGTTCGTTGATTTCTCTCCTTGAACTCTCTTTGGATTCCTTGAAACAGTTATTCTTTTCCCTTTTTTTATTTTTTAAAATCAAATTTTTTTTTGAGTCTAAATAAAATTTATTTTCTTTATCTTTCGATGAAAATGAAAATGAAAGTTCAACGACGACGCGATGCACACGAGAGAGTCTTTTGTTTCTCACGTTCGTGAGGTCGTTCGTGAATCGAAAACTATCGAGATTAACCGAACGAGATTATATTCGAAAGCTAATCGCGCGCTTTTCCAAAACCTATCCCGCATTGTAAATATTTATGCCTTTCAACTTTCGAGGTCGAATAAGGTAAAAGAAAATATATATATAGAATAAATTAAAGTTATTATAATGAAAAAATATTATATCAAAAAGTTCGAATAAATAAAAGTATATACGAGAATTACATTAAATGAAAAATTGTAATCTACTGTGTCTAACTATCAAACTATTGTGATACGGGTTCATATCTCGACAGTAAAACCTGATGATGAACCTTTGCGTCCTAGCTCTCACGATTTATCTTCAACTTCCCTGCTCCCTCCTTTAGTCCTTTCCTTCTTTCATTATCCCCTCGCCAACACCATGAATATGCGTAAAAATGTCAAAATAGAAAGTCACCAGTTCGTTGACACGCTTCGAAAGCTCTTTTCCCTTTCTTCTCGCTCCGACTCCTTTTCTTAGCTCACAGAGGAAACTGTTTCTTTGTTAAGCCGGCAAAGAGAATGAAAGAAAATAAAAGGAAAGGAAACGAAAATTGAAAGAGAGAGAGAGAGAGATAGAGAGAAAGGAGGAGTAGAATAAATTCCATACGAGAATGGAAACAAAGCAATTTATAATCAAAAATGAAGTAAAATTAAATAGACAAATTTTGTACACTACTCACCGTTGATAACGTTCGAGGAGCTTCGTACAATTCCACTTTTTACTGTTTGACGTTTCCAGAGCGAGTTACCGATGCTCACTTTTCTTATTCGTGTATGTTCACCTGCTCCGATAGCGAAGAACTCATCGGACGAATGAGAAATAGTTTGGTTTAAGAAGTTAAATTGCCAGCTATACCGCGCCACTGAAATGCCCTCTATCCCCATACTCGAGTTTATTTAGGTCGCCATTTTGATACCTGAGCGATTACAAAACCGCGCGAAAATTTGAATTTACCTTTCGTCAAATATATATTCAATATACTTTCTATGTTAATTTTTAAATCATGAATATTCTTTATTACGTTTTGATAACTCTAATTGTTTTATGAATAAAATATACATTTTATGGGGTTCGTTTTCATGCTTGTTTTCATATTTTATTATCTTATTAAGTAATAAAATATCTTTACTACTTGAAGACATTTATTTCTGAATTTCAAATCACAAAGTTAATAAACATGTATAAATATATCATATAACTTGACATGAATAACATATTACGTGTAAAATTCAGCGTTTCCACACAAAAAAATAATTGTTCTTTCTGATTTTATAACATCTAATACGCTTATGTAAATATCATATGATACAACATGTTAACATTTATTTGTGCAATTATTTTATGTTCTATGTTAGATCCTTCCTAAGCGCGCTAGATTATAACAAATCTATGAATCTTCGATTAGAAACATACATAAGTTGACCCTGACCTCGTGCCTGAAATTTTAAATGACTTATGTATTCGAAATTGATTAATTTATTAATTATATGTTAAATTTAGAATCTTTTTATATTTTCACGATACAAATATTGATATTATAAGTTGTATTGAATTTGATGATGATTTATCTTTTTATATAAAAGTTGTAAGTATTATCGTTGATTAGCACAACGATCTATGCACGGCCCTGCGGATAAGTTCTTAAATCCAACATGGCTACCTGATATGTAGCAGACGATATAGGTGCCATGAAAAATTGTAAATAAAATTCATTTTTAGCTTTAATTATGAGTGGACGTGTACAAAAGGAATGTGACGATGATTCTGATCGTGTTGACGATGCGGTGGATCCTAGAGTACAGGTAAGACAATTTGTTTCTTAAATAAACAAAGTGTCATGGCTTTCGCGATAAGGCATTTACGACATTGACATTTTCCTATTTATTATACGATCTGGAGCTTTAATAAAATGTCTTTCTGTGCGTCACAAAGCATTCGTATCGTGTTTAAATTATTATACAAGTCTGATACGTATTATCTAATTTTATTCGATTGTACGTCACTTGTTAGATTAGAAAATATGGTCAATGTATTTAGTACCTCCCCTCCATCGTCCTATAAAAACTGTCTTATCACAATTAGCATGAAATTATGACAGTAAATTTCTTTTATTTATCGTTATATTATAAATAAATTATATTAAAATAAAATTAAAAAAGAATAAAAATATTGTAATAAGTATCTTTATTTATTTTCAAAGAACATTAATATATTTTTTCACTTTATTATGCACGTAACAATATGTTACATATTACCTTACATTTATAATGGTATTATTTTTATGTAATTGTAACAATTATTGCAGATTGAACTTGAAAGATTGAACACAGCTACAGATGATATCAATAAACTCGAAGTTGATTTGGATGTAAGTACAATAAAAATATATTATAAATTGCCCTGTTTTTATTTTTATTGTTTCCTTTTATTTATTTTTTATTTTGTGTTTATAAAGCTAGAGTTTTTGAATTAGAAAACATATATTCTTCAAAGGTTCAAATTAATTGCTAGTTTTGAAACGAGTTCTGACTAGATTTCATTGAAGTGATTGATGTATAGCATACAGGCAAAATGGATAATGGCTCGTGAAGATGATCACCTACGTAGTCATTTATCACAATGACAGCTAAAGAAACTATTCATGACGTGAGACTTTGTACTGATTTGCCTTATCAGGATAAATTACGATACATGCATTTTACATTGCTTTATATTATACATTAGATTCTATTTATAAATAATTTATTTTCCCTAAGCATTATTTTTGAAAAAATGTATATATTTTTAATTTTAATTTTAGGAAGCAAGGGCCACGTTCAGGGAATTATTGTGCGAATCTACCATTCAAATTGATTCTCTGGCTAAAAAACTTGGAGCCTGTATTGAAAAATCTAGACCCTATTATGATTCTAGATTTAAAGCAAAAGAAGTAATTAAAAGAATGATGAATATATATATATGGTATTATTTTATAAATATAATATATAAATAATAATTTATCATAGGCTCTACAAGAGACACAAAAGGCTGCGATTAGATTTGAAAGAGCTAACAGTCAACATGCAGCTGCTAAAGAGATGGTATATTTAGCAGAAGAGGGATTAAGAACGGAAGGGAGATGTTTTGATCATGCGTGGCAGGTATAAATTGATATACATATAGTTTAAATGCAAAATATTGGTAAATAATGAAATAAACTAAAACAAGCTATATCTTGATAATCTTTCATTGAACATAAATATAGGAAATGTTAAATCATGCAACAGCTAGAGTTAATGAATCAGAGCACGAACGAGCTCTATCTGAGGCAGAGCATAGGCATACGACTGCATTGTACCATAAAGCGGAACATGAAGTTCAAAGATTACAAAGAGAATTAAAACGTGCAATTGCCAAGTCAAGGTATTAACAATTATTAATTTTTGTATTAAAGTATTGTTTTTTAAATTTTCTTGATATTATTGCATGGAAAGTTATTGCATTTAAACAAACAATCCAGCTAATTTAATAAGCTAGAACCCTTTCTTTAACGAAAGTGTCTTGATTATACATTATCGTTAAGTTTTATATATTTTTACAAATATATTTCCTTTTTCTCTTTTTGTATTTGGTAGTATTTGCATTTATTTTTTCTCCACCAATTTTATTCAATATAATATTCTTGAATGTAGATATGATTTTTTATATAGATGTTAGGATATTTATGTCTTTTGGTTATATTCATGTTGGCAGTATGGGTGCACGTCGCAGCTTGCTTCTGATAAACAGTATCGCCTACAGGCACAACTTGCTCATGTTGTAAGTAGGATAGATAATCTTTTTTTTGTATTATATTTTATTCTGTGTGAGCAATTAAACCAGCATCATTTGAGATTTTATTTTTGAATTGTCATCCTGTTTGTGCATGAATAATCTTTTTATGAATATAATATATAATATTTATATTATCAAAATCACTTTTTTATGAAGATATGTATCTGCAAAAAATGCAAGTGTTTCATTATTCTTTATATTGTTAATTGATATAAATTACAATTCTTTGTTAAACTTTATAAATTTTAAATTAAACATTGAAAATAATTAAAATTATATAAATGATTATTTATCATCAAATTATAAATCATATGCAGGCCTTATTATGAAATGAAAGCACATTTCAACCAAATGTTAGAAGAACAAAAGATGAAAGTTAGTGTATTGGAGAGATCAGTTGGCGAAGCTAAAATGACATATGCAGAAGCTTTGAGAAACTTAGAACGTATTAGTGATGAGATACATAAGGTATGTATTATAATAAACTATGTTTAAAAATCTTTATAATAGGAAGTAATTCCGGAAATTTATAATCATTCTTTTAGACAAGACAATGCGACACTTCAGATGATTATGGAAAGCATATACGAGATGGTACAGATCCTTCCTCCATGCAGACAAATACAGCAACTCCAACTGATTCAAGTATAACTGGTTCACCAGATAGTACAGATTATACTAGTGATGAATATTTGCGCCTCTCTGATAGAATGAGTCCAAGTACTCCTTGCCTTGTGCCTACCAAAGTAAATAATACATATTTTAAATAATAATATAATCTATATTAATATGTACATTTAAGTTATCTATGTTATGTGCTAAGAATGATTATAATATTTATATATACACTAATCCCTCCAGTTACGCAAGTAATTGGTACTACATATAGTATATAATTCTACCTTTATAAATTTATTAATCATATTTAAATTATACCTAAATATTACTTATTACAGATTGAGAGGAACCCATCCTCTGAATATTTGGGCCTAAATAATATGAATCTTTCAACTTCAGAACCTCGGAAATATATAAAGAGAGACCGTCCGCGAAGCATCGCCACAACTGACACGAAACATATCGTACAATTAAATCATACAAGTTCTTCTACATCTCGTTTATCTGATCTTTCTAACATTATATCCCCTATCGAAAAGAAGGTTAAGATTCAATCACCAGTGCGTGATGAGAAAAATAATTCTGCAACGCAGAATGGCGAAGAATGGACAGAAATAAGTTTGAATAATTCTCCTGATGAAATATACTACAACAATGACATCTATTCTGATGAAGAAGATCAAATTCCTTATAAACCTTTGCCAATGGATTTGAGTCCAGAAAATGTCAATCTTCCAATTCTTCCAATAAATATTCAAGCATTGAATAATGATCAAAATAATCGGAAACGGTTAGTTTCACAGAAATCTTTACCTTCAATGACACGAACAAATGAAGTTAGTTTAAGCGAAGAAAAGAGAGCAGAGGTCACAAGAAGTCCATCAGTAAGAAGTAAGGGTAAACTTGACACTAGTTTAGCCAATTGGATTACTCGAAGTTCTGCTGCTAGTGAAATGAGTGATGGTAGTTCTGGTATGTTATAAAAATCTTTTTAATAATTCATATTATTTATTCAGTAATAAAATTTGATTAAAACCTGTATGATAATTTATCTTTTAGCTAATTCAAGTAGAAGACAGTCTCTGGATATGTTATGGAGTGGAGGAACAGGAGAACGAGTCAAAGAATTATTAAATCATGGAATGATGATGCTAAACATATCCGGTCTAACAGAACGTCGTTCTAGCGAACCAAAAACAAGTGAAAGAGATAAAGAAAAATCTGAAAAATTAGAATCGAAAGGGAAGAAGGTTCCAAGTCCTTTAGAAAAAACTATGACCTATCTCAACCCAGATGAAGAAACTTCAGATAGTGAAAGTTTAGCCAGGTAAATTTGTTAATTATGCAACTTAAGAAAGATATATTTATATGTTTTTGTGATAGTTTGTTAATAAATAATCCTACATATCTTTTTTATCTAGTGTGGAGATGTTAACAGAAGATCAAATATCATCTCTAATGATGGAACCTGATATGAATCAAGTTTGCCAAGAGATTCTAGGTACACCATTGGTAGAAGTCTGTCCTTTATTGCAACAGCTTCAGCAACAACAGTAATGTTCTTTTTTTTTATTAATATTGACCTCATTTTAGTAAATTAGGCATAGCAAAAAGAAAGGAAAGTGTTCAAAATTTAAATGACGTGATGAAATATCGAAGCAGCATCCTTTGTTAGAAATTCATTTGTACACGTGAATCCACTTGTTTATGTTCTTTTTTTTAATTTATTACTAGGAACTAATTAAAATTAAGCGCATATAGAACTATTAGAACATTATTTTGTAAATACTATTTCATATATAATACATGTCTGTAAGGTAGAATGTGATATTGCATTGTCTTTTAAAATATTTATATATGCACTTATGAACTTGCTTTTTTCTTGCTAGTGCTAGTAATTACTATTTTTAAATCTCAATGTACTTTAGTACATTATTATAATTCTAAAAAGCCTAAGAGATTTTATGCAAGTACATATATATAAATCAATTAAAGTACATTGAACGGTGAATCATTAAGAATCATTCCATCAATCTTGTATTCATTTAAAGTATAATAGGCCATAGGGAAAAGGTTCGTTAAAGCAAGCAATATATAGTAAATATTAATAATAATTAAATACCTAATTAATGAAATATATTGCTCTTGCTAATCGTACACAGTTCTGATATTCAAAATGCTCTTCTATTTTTAGTTACATTAGTAATAAATGCTGTACGATCGCAAATTTAGAGCTATTAGCAAATATATTAAACTTTAATAATCAAAGTAGGAAACTTTGCAATTATAATTTAACTTAAAATTAATTACATCAAGATTATAAAATTTTGATGCCTCCTTTTCTATAGCACAGAGACGAAGAAGAAAATTATCATAGATATTAAATTATAATTTAATCAATGAAATCTCTCTTCTTCATCATCATATAGTGCTTGGAAAAAATATTTATATATATTTTATCATTTAAATATATATACATATATAGAACAGATCTCTATTAATTATAACATTATCTCTATTAATTATAAAAGTAATTAGTATTAGTCAATGATGTTATATAGTCTCCCTAAAAGAATTCTTTACATACGTGTGTATGTGAGGAGCTGCTCATATATGTATATATATGAGCATTATATATATATAGTATATGTATAATATATGCAATATACATATAATTATTTAAAATTATATGTAAGAAAGACTTATATTTATTAAGATTTTTAGTTTTGAGGTATGGTATATACCTACAAAGTTTGTAACACCATTATGGAAATAGCCTGTATACTCAGGTAGTGAATTAAGTGATAAAAATAGTCGAGATTTTAACAAGCACATTTATTTAAATATAGAGCTACAATACAGAGCGTTAAGATTTAAAAAAAAATGTTTTAATTTTACGTATTATGGCTTATGTAATCTTAAAATTTATTATAAGAAATTCCAAATGATCAGTTCAAAAAGAAAATATAGCAAAGACATTACCTAAAAAATAATATATACTTAACTACACAGATTTTACCAGTTTTATCGCAGCAATATGTGATATAGTTATTAGCATTTTTAAATATCAAGATGGAACATATATGTATTGTAATAAATACTGCAAAATGTGCATGCAATATACTATTTATAAAGAGTAATATATATGTAATGTATACATACCGACATGTATGTATGTATGTATATATGTACGCGTGAGTGCAGATACACACAAACATACGTATAGCATACTAATAAATATTATTTATTATTGATATATAATTATTGAGAAAACATAATTAGTTGAAATTTTAACATGCAGACAAAAAGCAGTTTTTATAAGAGAAGCAGTTACATTTTTATAAGAACTATCATGATAATTAACTATACATTTTCTTATCATATTTTCATTTATAAAACGAACTAGTTAAATTGATGTAAAATTATGAAATAATATATTTTTTGTGATATTGTACTCTAAATATTTGGAAATTTCTTAAACAAGAAATGTTACATAAATGCAGAAGTCTTGTAAAAGCTAGCTTTTTACACAAATGTAATTTTTACTTTTAAAAAGTGAGAGTATTATAGAAAAGATATATAATAAAATAAATTATTCCTTTTTCTGAAAATTATGCTTAGCGATATTGTATAAACTATAATAGTTTTTTCGCGAAATTCATTATCTATGAGGGAAGTTTTTTTGCACGATTCTTCCACTGAAAAATTTAATGTAAAAACTTTTCGACTTTAGATAGAAAGATTAGAAATAATCATATTGTTGTTCTCAATGTAAATTATGAATCATAGATTTCTAAAAATATTTTCTTCACTAATACGCTATAGCATTAAAAATATCGCAAGAGCATAATTATTAATAATAATAATTGTAAATATATACTAATGTATATGTAAATGTAACTATGTATATAAAAACATATTCATTAAATCATCACAAATGTAAACCGAGTAATATTTTATATTATATTATATAGTATTACCAAAATATTATTTAAAAAAAAAAGTTACTTATCTTTTTCATCGTGATAAAATATCTTATGTTAATATAATAATCTGAATGAACCAAATTGTGTAAAAGAAATATTTGTAGTAGCGATCGATTAAATCATATCCACGTGTGTTTCCACTATCAACCGAAGAGTTATCGTTTTAGTTTAAAAACACGATAGCCTTTCACTTATTAAGAACATCGCGCATCATAAAAGGCGCCAATTCCGAATATCCTCGAACAACTATGAAATAATAGTTCCGTTAGTCGCCTTAAGAGTTAAGTGTGGCGCTAGTGTCGCCCGAGCGAGAGAAAGAGAAAGAAAGATAGAGAACGGTAGGACAGTGAAATCAAGATGGCGTCGCGTGTATGGTGCGGATGATCGCAGTGCTCGTACGTTAATAGAGATTACACCAAAGTTAGACGTATTATCGGGCGCCATGTCGGGAAATCCGCGGGACATGGACGGTTTTATGCCGTTGCTGTCCACGACGGATATAAAGAAAAAACTTTCAATCGGTGATTTAGTACTAAACTACCTGGGTGACCCGGATAAGAGCATCGAATGCCAAGACATCGGACTTTTTATCGACAATGTGATACCATGGTTAAGCAACGGCAATCCAAAGGTAAGAAAACGAGCTTTTCGTAAACCGTACTCTTTAAAAGTTAAATGGGTGTGGGTGCGTCTGGGCCGTGTCGGACGTTAATGACGATCTTCATCTCTTCCCCCCTCCCCATCTCTTCTTGTCTCCTCCCTCTGTCGGTCTGCCTTTCCTTTACGACTCCGTAGGAATCGTGCGGATAGTACGGAGGAAAGGCGAACACCCTGTAAACGCTCCGTAAATGGCAAAAGAGAGCCGTCATCGATCATAATGTTCAGATGTCTTACGTGACCAATTTCGATTTGTTTGGTACTTCCTATTAAAAACCTATTATTATGGAATCAAGAGAAAACATAAATTTTCAAGGATAATAAACAATTTAAACAACTCAAAAAAAGAATGCAAGAATTTTCATTATTGTTGTTAATTTGTGTTGTCACAAATTAACAACAATAATACACATATATGTGTATTATATGTGTTATATCTTTGATGCTGCGGTTACGCGCGGATAAAGCACGTGCGAATGCGCGCTCCTATCTCTCTCTCTTTCTCTCTCACTCTCTGTCTCTCTCTTTCTTTGGAGTGTAGTCTAGTCGCTAAGCAGTCTAGACACGAGAGATCGTCGCTCGAATTGTAGTCGTGAAGGAAAAGAAAAAAACAACTAAAAAGAAACAAAGTTGACGAATATCCTTTCTTCGAGTACGCTTTCGTTAGATGACCATGTAGTGGGAGTGGGGTGTGCCGAGTGACAACCCCTCTCCTGCACAATAACTCTTTCTCTCTCTGTTTCTCTTTCTCTTTTCCTCTTCTTTTTCCCTCTTCACTTTCCTCTATATAAACTCTTTCGTTGCGTGCGTACAGAGGTGCTCATTCACCGAAATTATAGGAACCAAATATCATGCTATTCTTTCCCTTTCCCTAAATTTCCTTCATAAATACTAGTTCTTAGTATTCCCCTTCTTTCCTTCCCTTCCTCTCTCCCTTCCTTCCTTCCTCTGTCTCTCCTTTTTTTTCTCTCTCATTTGTATTAAAAATTTAAGGAACAAAATTATTGGTAGGAGATACATATATATATACATAATAAAAATTAGTTAGTTTATTATGACGTGGGTAAAATGTTACATTTTGTATATCATGTATTATATACGCATATATACATGCATTCATGCATTAACTCTTTTGAAGTTCAAAAGTTCAAAAGTTCGAGGATCACCAAGAAGCAATTCAAGCTTTAAATGCTCGTCGGAAGGTGCAAACCGATATAGTTGACGGAATTTACAAGAGTAGTGTATCGTGTTCTTGTGAAGGGGTGTTATAGGATTTAGTAAACGTTAGAGCAAATTCGAGACCCCTCGATGATAGATTAATTCTTCGGAACAAGTTCATTCAAGTGCATAAAGACGATTCATCACTTTTAAAATTAGTATAAAATATCTATTTTCTGCTATTTCAAATTCGATTTGTATTTTTCAAATTGATTACATTTATTGTAATATTTTTTATTTTGTGTTATTTTACTGATTGCGAGTTATATATGATCCATATAAAATATTGTACACATGTAAAACTTGCTAAGTAAGATGCAATTAACTTTTATATAATGCAAGAATTAAAGTAGCTTAACGTTTGCAAACAAAATATTAATAAGTCTTTTCTAATAATAACTTTCTTTAATTGAGTCACGTTTTAATATACTCGTCAAAAGAAATCTCGTTATTATATTATCCTCGCTCATTGTCATTCATTTGCAGTCAAGCGGCAATTGTAATTGTCTATTGTGTCGTATTATGTAATTCGCTAAAAATAAATAAATAAACGAATATAAGAAGAAAATGTACTTGTCGCATTAAAGATAATTGGACCATATATCATATTTTGTTTTTAAAATCATACGAGTTTTCCTCTTATTCTTGTACCTTGCATAATAAAATCATGATACCGAGGAAAATTATTGTAATTATGATCTCAGGTAAATGTGAATAAAGTATGTTAATTGAATGTTTGAAAAATAAATTGAATTCTCTACAATGATATGATGTGTATGTATTAAAAAAATAACTTTATGACGAGTTCCTACGCGTTATAAACTTTTTGATCAAAAGGAAAAGAAAACGAAAAAGAGAAAAATCTTATGTCAACGATCTAAGATGTGTTCAGATGAGTCATATTCCGTAGAATCGATAAAGCAAAGCCGAGTGTATATTGCGGCGCGAATATATATACTGTTTTCTCAAGCTGCACGGGATGTCCAAAAATGGCGATACTCCTTGAATTTACCAGATTACTTTTTAAGATGATCGCAAGATATTTTACTGGATTACGGCTTAAACATGACGGATCTGTTGTACACACGATCTCAGTCGTTTTTTCTCAGCGATTTAGACTCCCGCTGTTTTGAAATTGGTTTCTTTCTTAGTTAAATCTGTCACAGAGTTGAGTTTATCTCGACGACGACAACAACAACGGCAACTACAACGATGACGACGTTATAGAGAACCTCGACTCGTTCGAGATGCATGTCGCATAAGGAAAAAAACTTTCACGCCATGTATGTATATATGTGGAGGAGAGGTGTCCTTTGCTTGCTGTTGTCGCTCGTGCTAAGATTTCCTTTGGCATCCGAGTATTGGACACAACGCATTTATAAAGAACGATTTGAAATAAAAAAAGATAAGAGAGAGAGAGAGAGAGAGAGAATAACTTATTTATGCAACACATTTATAGAAATCAACTTTGAAATATTAAGATATGTTAAAAGTTTCTTCCTCTTTTTTAGTAAGTTCCTTACATGAATAATATGTTTTATTTTATGCTATTTTCCTGTTATTTTGTTTTCTATAGAAAAAAATAATAGAACAGAATGGATGCTATATGTTATTAAAATAATAAAATAAGAAATATTATGCTTATAAAACTTATTAATTGTAAGAAAAATAAGAACGAGAAACTTGTGACGATTTAATAAAATAGAAAGAAAGAAGTAAAGAAAATAATTAATTAATGTTGAATAATTAAAACTTGCGTAAGTTTGTATTAAATAAATTTCTTTCAAATAAGTATAATTAAAATAAAATAAGAAGAAAGATAAGAAATAATTTTTTAAATGTTATCGTCTAGATTGTCATTATGTTAAAAATTTTATTTCATACTTTGATTCGTCTAATACTGCAGTAGAAATTACTTGCAAAAAAGGATAAGAAATTGACGTTGTTCGAAAAATCACGCGTCAAACGCGTCAGTTTGCATTGTGATGATGCGATCTACGTCATTCTATTGATGGTAACGATAAATACGAAGAAAGGGTAGGAAAGAGTTGCTGAAAAGGGAAAGAAAAAACAAATTGTTATTGTTTCTTAAAGATACGTCTGCCTGTCTGTGCGTCGGGCATCAATAAAAATTCAGTTCTCCTTCGATCGTACATTCTTATTATGTATTTATGGCAAATGTATTATGTATGAGACTAATACACACGCGGATGAGTTTGATTTGTATATATGTATTGGATTATAGCTCCATCGCATGCGCCACCTTATCTACAATTCTATCTACGCATATATACACGCACACTAATGATCAACTCGGTGACACGTAATCTGGACCGTTCACTGCTATATTTAGCATAGTTTTTTATTGTTTCACGCTTGACACCTTCTCCAATTCCAACATTACATATTTCCATCGGCTGGATTTATTTTCCCGCCTTGAATTTTTTCTTGTAGTCGCAGTCGCGACTGTGGCGCCATTAGTTTCAAATTCTCTCGCCCCTCTCCTCACTCTGTCTTACTTATTATATATTACCTTCAACATAATAAGACGAGTGGTCATTCCTAGTTTTTTTTTTCTTCGATGTCTCTCCTTGAGAAAGAAAAAAAAAATGATGATGCTATTTTTTTCCTTCAGAGAATAATATACTATACAAATAATGATGATGATTTCTTTTTTATCCTCAAATTATTTTCTCTTGAATAAATGTAAAAACATACGAATACAAAAAATCAGGGTCTAGAAAACTTCGTATATAAAGTACATATGTAACATTCCATTTACATTCGTACGACTAATCGGAAAGAAAAAAGTATATACGTTCTAATTACTAGCGCGGAAAGCTATCTACTTGTTGCTTTTTCGGTTTGTCATTAACCTACAAATATCGCCTTGTACATACAACATACGGGAGCTTTCCTTTTGAATATCTTCCTTTTTACTTTCCTCTTATTTTTCGCTCGATAAATGGAACATTGAAATAGCAATGCTGTATCGGACTTGGCTTTCTTCTTATCGTTTTGCAGATAGTTCTTTTCGCACATACATGTATACAAAATCTATGTACCAAGAAAATAAATATGTATAAGTTGTATTTTTAAAAGAGGCACACTTTTGGATAGCAGTACTTCTTAACTAACGTATACTACCTACCTAACGAAGATTGCGACTCGCCCTTAATCTTTCGGCGAACAGGCCATTGTTACTGACATTTTTTGGCAAACAGCCTACCGCCTTGTACGATCTTTACGACAGCTGAACGAACATTGTCTGGAAGTTCGTTCGTGTCTTCTCAAGGGGAATAAAAATCTGATATCTTTTCGATCGCACGTATGGCTTCCTCATTCTTCCTTTTTAGAAATTTATAAAGCTTTAGTCTATGTTTCCTAATAATGTCACTGTTTCTCCGTTTACGTGACAGTACTATCTAACTGTACAATTGTTGACTTTTTTCTCTATCGAAAGAAAGTAACAATCGATACTTTTATAAAAATTTATTTTGTAAAACAATATTCCTCAACTTACGAAATATGTTTAATTTTTAATTAAAGCTGTAAAATAATAACTCCTCTATTATGCCGAAATCAGGAAAATAATTCACGTATAAGAGATTTCCAGAAGTTTTTTTTAGAATGTGTTCTTACGAGTTCAGTTTAGTAAATTCTTAACAATTTTATGTTATATTTAGAAATTTATACTGCGATACCATTATAAACAATTGTGCCAGTAATTATAATAGTAAAGTAAGTAAAAAAATT